TTCTCTCTCTAGGTTCAGGTCACTTATGTGTAAAAGGAGAGTTGGTTCTGAAATCTTCTGATTTTGTGAAGGCAGTCTAACTGGCAACAGAAGAAAGATAATCACCACTTTGAGATATTGTAACCACAGATATACAATAGCCTTTTCCCCCCCTCAAAGACTTTCGTAGTGAGAGAAAGCTAAATAATTCCATACTTTAGGGAACGCAGAGTCACTGATAACATATTAATCCAGTATCTAATGTCTTGTTCATCTCTGTCTACAAGTCTAAAAGCCACTTGAGGACAAAGGTGGTGCCGTGCATCTCTCTGTCTTCCCTTCTGTGCCCGTTTGTTGAGTGTAAAAATAGAGTTGTGAAAGTTAGGGAATACTCATGAGGATAGATAGCTATCCAAAAGATAGGTAGCAAACTGAGAGTACATTGGCAGGAAAATTAAGGTGGGAGAACCCCTGAGGAAGAGCAAGGGACCACCAGTGTTCAATGTCACAAGTAGGCCGTTCACTGGGAGATATCGATGGTCATTACTTTTATGTAAAGAACTTACAGCTCTTTACTTGCCTATGATGTCTAGAAAAGAGGACACTGAACTATCATAGAAGATTGAGTCAATTGAATTTTGAAGAAGTCCATGTTTTACTAAATGCTACACAATAATAGATAAGTGTCAAATCTATACTTTGCCCTTTTAGTTCCCATGCCCTCTGGTCCATATTGTACATTTTACCTTGTACTAATACGGGACAGACTAGTTAGCGGAAGGGGGCAGAATGGTCTAGTTGCCAACAGAGTGTACTTTGAGGACTGATGTACGTGCCTCCACAGGCTGGCTTCTCATTACATCCTTAAATCAAATGAAAAGAAGAATTTGAACTACTTAGTAGTAAAGAATTACTTGCAAAACCAGCAGAAGATTAGAATCAGTAGTAGGTGAGAAATGAAAAATGTAGACATTTGATGGTCATTATGTTCCAATGACTGTCTCAGCAGAGCATTCTTTTTTTTAAAAAATTTTTTTCATGTTTATTTTTTGAGAAAGCAAGGAAGGGGCAGAGTGAGAGAGGGAGCTGAGTTATCAGCAAAGAGCTCGAAGTGGGGCTTGAACTCACGAACCATGAGATCATGACCTAAGCCAAAGTTGGACACTCAACTGACTGAGCCATGCAAGCATCCCACAGTAGAGTATTCTTTTTTTTTTTTAATTTTTTTTTTAATGTTTTTATTTATTTCTAGGAGAGAGAGAGACAGCGTGAGCAGGGGAGGGTCAGAGAGAGAGGGAGTCACAGACTGAAACAGGCTCCAGGCTCCGAGCTGGCAGTCAGCACAGAGCCCGACGCGGGGCCCGAACCCACGAACCGCGAGATCATGACCTAAGCGAAAGTCGGTCGCTTAACCGACTAAGCCACCCAGGCACCCCCACAGTAGAGTATTCTATATCTATAAGAAGGACTGTCTCTTTTTAGTGGGACCTAATACTAACCTCAATTACAGATCCAGCTCCAAAATAGAGAAGGAACATGCTGGTATTCAGGACCATTTAGATCATTTAATGTCAGTTTTAAAGAATCGCAGATTACATTCTGAGAAGAGAAATTGGAAAAGAGTAAGGAAATCATGAGCCAGAAAGAGTGGATTTCTATAGGAAAAGTTGTACCAAGAAAATTAGATTACTTTTCTTGGAGAATAAATTTATATTAGTGAGAAAAAGGAAAAGTACATGTTATTCATTAGAGTTTTTATGGAATGCTTGCTTCAGAAATTGCAAAATTATAGTTTTAATTTATCTTGAGAGCTTCAATTGTCATAGATTATGCTCCAAAGGCAGCTTGTAGAAGAATCAAGAAAGAAAAAAGTCAAGGTGTTGGAGCTTGGGAAGCAATATGGTTTACATCTCTTTCATATAAATATTTTTATTGCTTCTCTGGAAGAAAAAGAAAATAGAACATTAATGAAATTGGCACTTAAATCCTTGGTTTTAGAGTGTTAGTGAGCTGTAAAAAAATGGCAGAATTAAGAGACAAATTATTTCTTTCCCTTCTCTGGGTCCACAGAAGGTCAGAGGAGGAAATTTATTCATTCATTGATTCATTCAAATATTTATTTCTCTGTGATCACATCGACCCTGTGATAAATGTAGCAGGACATGGATAAAATAGCTATTTTTAAATTATTATTTAAGTTTTTTGACTTTTAATTTCCTTATCTAAAAACTGAATATTAAAACGGCTAATTCTGAGGGTTATTGTGAGGATTAAATATATACGATGATTTATTTAAACAGCACTCAACACATGGAAATGATACTAACAATGCACATTATCGAGGACTTGCTCTGTGCTACGTACTGTGTTAAGTTTTTTGTATATGTTAATGTATTCGATAGTCACAACTGCCTTATGATGGATGCAGACATCATAATCCCATTTTATGGATGAAAAGACTATAGTTTTAAGAGTGTGAGTAATTTGCCCAAACTTGTAAGTCGCGTAGCTGAGACTCAAATCCAGACAGCCTGACTCCATTGCTCGTACCTGGCAGCTATTAAGGTTATTGCTACAACAACTAGGCTCAGCTGAAACTACAGAAACAGGAATTTAAATTTAGAGATGAAGGTCTGGACTAGAGGGGTTTAAAAAAATGTAATGAAAAATTTTAAAGTATGAAAATCTTTGGAGACTGTCAGCTGAAGTCTTACTCTCCCTTGCAGACTTAGAACAAGTTGGCTTAAGATTCCAACTTGATGCCTATGTGGGTTTGGAAATATGCCTGCAATTTCTGTGAATTCCTAATGGCTTCCTTCTTAGTTTCCTCTTCCTTGTTTTGCATTCATCTTGTGTCATCCCAACACAAAGCCTATTTTTCCCAAACCCATTATTAGTTTACCAGTTTTACTGAAGATCTTTGAGGTTATGGGAGAAGTCATGTCACGTAACATCACTGACTTCCTGGGTTCACCTCCAGTCCTCCTCATTTTATACAACCGCAAACATACTTGGCAAGCATGCCATTTCCAACCATTTATTAAATGGTAGAGCCAAGACTCCAGGCAAGATTCTGTTAGCAGAAAGTCTGATCAAGCCAGTGCAAGTGAGGAAAGAAACTTCTCCATCCATCGACCTATTCCTCTGCATTTTTCTCCACTAATAAAAGAAAAATAAGACAGGAATCTTCCAAGCTAATGTAAACTAACCTTGCAAATAAATTTCTCTTAAAAATGCAAAAACCAAATTAAAAATAATAAGACTACACTAAAGGTTAGAAGTTTCATTTTTTAGGTTTATTTACTTATTTTGAGAGAGAGAGAGAGAGAGAGAATAAAAAAGCATGAGCAGGGGTGGGGAAGACAGAGAGAAAGAGAGAATCCCAAGCAGGCTCCACAGTGTCAGCACAGAGCCCAACTTGGGGCTTGATCCCCTGAACCATGAGATCATGATCTGAGCTGAAATCAAGAGTCAGTCACTCAACCAACTGAGCCCCCCAGGTACCCCAGATATCTTTCTAAAGCATCGATTTATGTTGATTATTTCAAAAGGATCCCTTGCTCTCTGCCTTCTGATTGGATTGGGCCAACAGGAGCCCACATAGAAGATTGGAAAGAGGGAGAATGAAGTAAGGATGTCAGTCCCTAAACTCCCTCTCTCTTGGATCATCCAAAGCAGGCTCTGTTGCTCAATAAAAGTTCACTGCTTTTCTTGAGGCAGCTTCTATACACAACTTTCTCTTCTCTTTTCTAGTATCTGGGTCCCTCCTTCACCCCTTGAGGCCCAGAAGTAGAAACAGTTCTGTCTTAACAACACTGCACACCTAAGTTACACACTGCGATTCTCCCACATCCCTCTGTACTGTGTGTTATGGGTTGAATTATGTCCTCCCAAAAGAAGATGCAGTCGGCACCTTCAGTGATTATAACCATGACCTTATTTGAAAACATTATCTTTGTAGATGATCAAGTTTCCATGAAGTTGTTAGGGTGGGCCCTTATCCAATAGGACTGTGTTTTTAGAAAAAAGGAGCAGGGGCCTTTGGGTAGCTCAGTCATTTAAGCTGTTGACTCTTGGTTTTGGTTCAAGTCGTGATCTCATGGTCCCATTGGTGTGTGCAAGCCAGAGTTGGGCTCTGTGTTGACAGAGCAGAGCCTGGTTGGGATTTTGTCTCTCCCTCTCTCTCTGCCCCTTCCCTGCTTTCTCTCTCTCTCTCTCAAAATAAAAATAAATAACTTTTTAAAAAGGAGGAATTTGGACACACAGATACACACACAAGTGAAGGTAGAGATTGGGGGTGATGCAGCTACAAGTCAAGGGACTTCAAAGATTTCCAGAAAACCATCAGAAGCTAGGGTAGAAGGCAGGAATGAATTCTCCTTCACAGGCCTCAAAAGGAACCAACCAACCCCACTCACGTCTTGATCTTAGACTTTTGGTCTCTGGAACTGCGAGGCAATAAATTACTGTTTAAGCCCAGCTAATTTGTTGTGCGGCTGCCCTAGGAAATTAATACGCCATGTAAATAGTCCCTTACTTATAACATTCCCAGAGTTTTCTTAGCTTGAGTCCTTCAGCTGATATCTATCCAGGAAGCTGACTGGTCTAAATGCTGCTATAAAAGGAAATAAATTATTGAGATAATGTCCAGCCAACAGAAGAATCAGACAAGGTATAACCAGCTAAAATCTAGTTGTGAATTTCAGATTAGAAGCCAGAATCTGTATGATGTATTTGTAGAGCAAAGTTAATTTCTGTGTCCCTTTTCAGCTATGCAATGATTAAGTGCCATCTCACATTGCTTATTAGCTCTTCAGGACGTTTAGAGGGCACTGAAAATCTGTGACATGCTCAGGAAAAAAATAAAACAAGGTAAAGAGACAACGAATTACTCGGTAGGGGCTCTCAGAGGAGGTGACGTTTGAGCAGATGTCTAAATACAATAAAGGAGGGAGCTCTGTGGAATCTAGGAGAGAGCGCCGCAGGCAGAGGGAACAGTTAATTCAAGGGCTTTGAGACTGGAGGGTGAGAGGCATATTTCAAAAACAGAGCAACAGCCAGAATGGCTGGGAGTGACTGAGGCAGACAGAGGTAAAAGATGACACCAGAAAAGTAACCTTAGGTTTCTTTTCTATCCAGTTAGGACATTTTTACTTTCTCTACTGGACTATTGTGGGCACTTAAATGTTTGGGATGGGTGTTTGCAAAGTGACTAATAGGATGTTTCTCTTATAAAGAAGTATTGAAGGTACCAATGTGAGCAAAGAATCATAAACGATGTCCACATTTTCTCCAGAATCCCCCTCCAAAGTGCAATAGCCATAGAAAAAAAATCATATTATTCAAACAAACTAAGAAATATTTTATTTTTAAATTACAACCTGATTTCTAACCGAGTGAATTTTCTTGGCTCTGTTCGAGGTGATTTTCTTTTTAGCTCCAAATTACTTTCCTGCCTCTCTTGTTTATTCCATTTTGATTTGTGTGGCCCTGCATCCTTTCCCTAACCTTCCATTATTTCTCTGGATCCATGTTTTGGTTTGGGCAGTCCTAACCACTGTAACATAAAGAACTCTTACAGATTTTTAAGGAAGTTTTTCACTTATAAAAAGTCATAAAAGTATTAATTTCCTTTTCAGATTATTTAAATGGATCATAAAACAGCCTTATTTACTGAGCTTACCTTTCCTTGTGTCCTGAATAATCAAGAGAGGGTGTATGGTCTGGGGCACTAAAGCATTTATGCGCACTGGTGGTCTGAAAGCTTTAATGTCTCTTCCTGGAGTGATTAATTTAAAGCAGGGCAAGACTGGCCCAACATTATTATTTCATTTTAAGTGCATCTGGAAATCCAGAGAGTGAGCCCTTATTTAACTTTGTTGAAGAAAAAGAAATGCATGTTAATAACTCTTACCTATTCTTAGGGCAATTGTAGGAGGCAAAGCTCATGCTGTCATTTGGAACAGAGACAAGAGGTGGCACAATCACTTACGTCTGGCGATGAGGCATGGATTCAGGAGCAGAGCAAATGGGGTTTAGTGAAGCCTGAGGATTCTGCAATTTAACTTAGGCAGAAACTGAAGAATTTAGGAAGAGAAAAGAGATTCCTAAAAATGATTTTAAAAAATTTAGCGGGGACACCTGGTGGCTCAGTCAGTTGAGCATCCGACTTCGGCTCAGGTCATAATCTCGCACTCATGAGTTTGATCCCCATGTTGGGCTCTGCGCTGACAGCTCAGAGTCTGGAGCCTGCTTAGGATTCTGTCTGTCTGTCTGTCTGTCTCTCAAATATAAACATAAAAAATTAAAAAAAAAAATTTGAACGGGGTGCCTGGGTGTCTCAGTCATTAAGCCATGATCTCATGGTTCATGAGTTTGATTCCCACACCAGGTGAGCTTGAACCCTGCTTCCAGTGAGCCCTGCTTCTCTCTCTCTCTTCTCTCTCTCTCTCTCTCTATCTCTATGCCCCTCAATCACTTGCACCCTCTTTCTCTCTCTCAAAAAAATGTTTTGACCCATATGTGAACATTACAAAATCAAGAAAAATGACATAATATTTTTACTAATTGACCGCCTGACATATCACTATGTTCTCTTCCTACATTTTTGACTGCATACTCTTTGATGGCCTTTTCCATGAAAACATTCTTGTAATTTTTCTACAGAGAGAATACAAAGATAGCCAAGTCTCTCCTTTAGCATAGTTGATTGAAATTTCTTTTTTATTCCTTCTGGGTTAGAGGAGTACCGTTGTGGCTTCATATGCAGACATGCTCATTGTTTGTAGCACTGCTTCTAGTGCGTGCTCTACAAACATAGGCACTCTGATGATTTTAACACTCTATTTCTCGTAATCCCCTTCAAAATGGAAAAGATAATGTGCAACGTGTTCTAACTGTACATGCTGCATCATACTCCTGTCAAGGAAGAAGGTCTGTCTTGATGAGGCATCTATGAAAATCACATCATTGGTGACAAACAGAAAGTTTACACCACTGATGACTGGAAGAATATTCTTCAGACTGGCTTCTAGCTTCCTAAGTCTCAAGCTTTCTTCTCTCCCAACTTCCTATGTGTTTCCAATACGGGGACCATAGGACACATTCCCATTTCAATATGCCCCCTGGCCCTGCGCCTTTGTGTAGTGACAGTGGTCAGAAAGCACCAGTGGCCACAGAAGTTGACCTGGATGCCATTTCTACACCAGCATGGCTAGTAATCATTGTGTACACATGGAAATGACTGCAAACCCCACAATTATGGAATGTATGGAAATGTGTGGACAGGAAAGTGAGAGTGTAAAGAGACAGCAGTCTTAACTGATTGTGGCTAAAATATCTTACTTCTGAAAATTTGCAAAAACAGATGTGGCCCCTCAGAGCCTTGAATAGAGTCCATGTAGCTAAGAGCCACCTAGAAGCTTAAGTGTCATTAACTTCACTGTAAATCTTCCTCTGGGGTGAAACCCAAGAATAGGGTTTTACTTTCTCCCCTTATCTTTACAAGAGCACTAGGAGGAGCTGACTCTACTCAGATTAGTTCTCCACTGAAAGTTAGTTCACCCTTCCAATTAGTTAATGCAGTCAGACATCCAAAACTCCATTCCAGTGGTTTATTCAGAAAACTCAATAGGTGGCATTTCTAAAGTGATTTTTAGGGAGCACTGAATGGCTGTGTTCAAATAATGACAAGAAGACTAAAATTAATTTGCTTTATATCTATCCAACTAAGGATAGAATTCCTTTCCATTGAGACTGGATAATATGCTCTCATGGTTTAAATTTAGATTTTCCCCACTTTTTTCCAGGTTTCATCTTTTTTTTCTTTGCATCCTTTTCCTTTAATATTTTTTTCTCTCATCTTCATTGCTCCCTCTTCTCTTCTCAGGCATTAGGTGTTCTTAGCAATGGTTTTAGCTCAGAAACACACTCTGAGAGAATTAGTTCTTGGCTTTTTGTCATTGAGAGATAGAGAAAAGCGTGTGGTAGGAAGGAACAAGTCAGGCTGACTAGGGTACTGAGACTCGGGGCCTGCTTCACTGCAGAGGTCAGTCAAGGTCTTAGTCAGTCCCACCTACTGTAACAAAGCACCATAGGCTGCGGGGCTTCAACAACAATCATGTATTTCTCATGATTCTGGAGGCTGAAAGTTCAAGATCAGTGTGACAGCATGGCTGGGTTCTGGTGAGAGCTCTCTTCCGGGCTTGCAAATGGTTAGTTGCCTTCTTGCTGTATCCTCACATGGATGAGAGAGAGAGAGAGAGAGAGAGAGAGATCATCCCCCTCTTGTTTATCTTCTTATGAGGGCACTAATCCAATGGTGAGGGTTCCATCCACCCGAATTAATTACTTCCCAAATACCCCACTTTCGAATAACAGCATATTGGGGATTAAGGCTTCAACATCTGAATTCTGGAGGCTTCAACCATTCAGTCCATTGCAAACAGATAGCTGTGCAGGGAAAAAGTACCCCTCCCCATACAGCCTTCTGGATAACATACATATCCAATCAGTTCCCAGATCTTTATACTGTCATAGCAGGATCTTAGTCTCTTTCTCCCATGAGTTCCCTTTTGAATACTTTATGTATTTTTCTTTCTCATTCAAATCTCTCTGTGATGTACATTTTAACCTGATTTTATTTAGGTCAAATGTTAGTACGCTGCTGCTAGGCATAGTATTTTGTTGGCTACTTGCATGTGGTTGGACAAATGGGAAGCACAAGTTTAGTGCAATCACTTGGAAATACTGAAAGCTTTGGACATAGAGTAACCTGTGGACTCCATTTGTACTTTCTTGTCATTCATAAATTAAACTCCACTTAGACCAAAAGAGAAATAGTCTACCTTGAGTTTTTTTCTTTTTTCTTTTCTTGGTGAGAGCCTCCAGGTGGGAGAAGAAAGGACAGGATATATTTCCTATAAGAACACACAATGCTACCTAGTGCTTACCCTGCTTGTCTGATTTCTTTCACTTAGGAATATAAGTTTCACAAGACAGAGCCTATTCTTCTTATTAGGGACCTTCTTTGTTTCTCTCATGCATCTTAAGATAATTTTGATAAAATAAATTAAAATAATTTTGATAAGAAATTCCTCCTCTAGAATTTTATACCAATGTAAAATAATTTTATATTTAGATATCTTTTATTGATTATCCTTTCATATGTCCTATGCAACAAAAATTAAAATTTTTCCATTTTTTTCATAATCTCCGTAGTCAAGAACATCATGTCTAAATTTAAATTCCCTTTATCTTAGCTCAGCAAAAGAGATGATAAAATTTCTGTAACCCTACAATTCTAAGGGCCAAAATTTTTTCCTCTGTATTATCACTACAGTTATTTTTCACATGCAAATGAGCACATCGATGTACATAAATTATAATTTTTATAATTAGTATACATAAAAATAAAATTGTATTGGGAAAAATAAATATTGCATTTCTTAGTGTGACAGGTGGTGTAGGTTTATGGTGTTTTGATCAAATGAAGTGACACAAATATTTAAAATTGTTGCTTTGTTTGACACCCCAGAGATTATTCTACATGAGAACAATGCATGGCCCTAACAGGGATGGGGGACAGTTGTACCTTTCTTTTGCCCAGAGGGTGACAGGCTATGGACAAAGGGAAGTGGGAAAGAGAAGGCCTACTAAGATCTCATTGAAGACACCTCTGTAGGCAGAAGGCTTTTAGGGAAAAGTAGATATGGAAGTCAAATATCTGGGTATTGGTTTCCTTAAAACTGTGTCTGCAAAAAGTATAATTATTTGAACCAGCTGATGTATATGGTTCTTAAACTAGTCCATGGACCCTCTCCTCCCAGAGTAGAAAGAGGTGAATACAGCAAGAAGTGACAGAACATTATAGACACCTTTTTAAGACCTTTGGTATGGAGAGGAGCTCATTGGGAAAGATTACTTTAGATATGTTTTAATCTTCATGAATCTGATCCATGTGTGTGTGTGTGTGTGTGTGTATGTTTAGATAGAGGGAGCCCAAGTAGGGTAGAGAGGCAGAGGGAGAGAGATAAAGAATCTTAAACAAGCCCCACACTCAGCATGGAGCCTGATGTGGGGCTCCATCTCAT